AGGAGTTCACCAATGGTTGTTCCATGGCATACTGCTGTCTTCAAATCAGCTGCTCAGATTACCAGATATAAGCATGCAAAATTGGTCAAAATATAAAAATTTTTTTTATTTAAAAAAAACAACTGACAAAACAACAATGAAGACAAAATCAAAACAACCAAAAACAACAAAACTGATCATGACCTCAAAACAAAATGATAGGAATTTATAATGGTTGCTAAATTACACACTGTTATCTTTAACAAAGTTGCTCAGTCCACTAGACATAAAAATGTAAGACTGATCAAACAAAGACAGTAACAATTATAAAGAAAAAAATAGTAAAAAAAAAATAAAACATTGGAAATTATGCAGAGCTTCACCATACAAGATGGCAGGAGTTCAACAATGGTTCTTATACTGCATATTGTTTTCAGACCAATCCACCAGTTTACTGGTCATTTCTTTTGTCTTTAAAATAAAAAAAGAATTAAAGTTCAAGTAGCACATTATTTTGGAAACAATGGGTAAACATGCTACAGTCGTAACACAAGCAGATTACATCTAAAAATGAACAAAACACCACCCATTACTGATAGCGCAGATACACAAGAAATCTTGCACATGGACAAAAACAGGGACAGATACTAAAAGGAAAGGAATGAGATAAGGAAGACGCAGCTTACTCTAAGATGATTACTAAACATTTCCCACAAAATACAAGGTGAAGCACCTATTTACTCTCAGAGCACGCCATCATTTTAAGGAGAAATGAAGCCAGAAAAGAGGTGGGGAGCCGGGGGCTTCCAGGACCACTGGGGACCACTGGGGCAGCTGCAGGCTGAGGAGCGGAGAGGGCAGTGTCAGCGTGAGTGTTTAAATGGCCACTACATTGCAGGGTTTTTAGACAACGAACACTACCCATGAAACTCGATGTAGCAAACCAACTGTAACAAGCAGCAGCATACTTTATAACTTAAAATTCAGGGGCAACGGGACGCGAAAACAGAGGCAGTTAGGTAACAGCTCTCCCGAAGGTGACGCTGATTCAGGCAAATGGCTTTCTCCGTAGAAAGTAAGAGCTGTAACAGGGAAGAGGGTGCAGCCAGTGACATAAACGTCCTTTCACCCGGGTGCGTGCTACAAGCACATGAAAACTTACTTGCCAATATTTTCAGGCAGAGACTGCAGTGAGATGTCATTTACAGAAAGACATGTTAAATTCTGTAATTCAGGAAAGCTTTCTGGCAACCTAGAACAACAACAAAAACAATGTTTGTAATTTAAAACAGCACAAATAGAATGACTTCTGTATGCTAAATGAAACAGCCTCCTAAAAGTCACATTATAAATAGCTTGTTTGCCTTGTCTTCCTATTATGTATTACATGCATAAGGAAAAAATAGACTTTGTCTATTGAATGGAAGTACAGGGGCATAGTAAATACTTACTGGTATAGTGATGCAAAAATAATTACAAAGAGAACAGATACGCCAGTTCTAAAGCTAAAGGAGCAAAACATGATGTGAGACCTACTAAGTGTTCCTTTCGAGAAAATGATAAATAGCTGTTGCAGCTTTTTTTTTTTTTTTTTTTTTTTTTGGTACTGGGGATCGAACTCAGGACCTTGCGCTTGCCAGGCAGGCGCCTATGCCACTGAGCTACATCCCCAGCCCTGCTGCAGCTTAAAAGTCCAAAGAATGGAAATATTTTATTCATTAGCAGAAAGTAAACAGAAAATTTCACCAGCCCTTGGGGTTATAAGAAAACACAGGGCAGCTGCTTGACATTTTCTCTTCCCTCAGCTTCTAATCCCCACAGCAAAGGGTTACTTGGAACTAATGGCTGACATCCAAGCCCACTGCTACTTTGTTAATTTTTTCTTTTCATTCAAGATGTCGCTCACTTGAGATAATTATATGTCTCACTATACGCTACACAGAAGCAGTTTTTATGTGTCCCTGAAGCCCTGCAGAATGGGAAGGCACCACAATGCAAAGCACAATGTGTCTGTCACGGTACGTTATTTCAAACTTATAAAGAAATCTTAGTTTCAATATTTCTATGGTTGCAGTATTTAGGGAGGAAAAAGCGACGGAAGGCAGAAACACCATTCTGTGTCCACAATGAGATTCAATACAAAGGCACGAATCTGCTAACAAAGACCATGGGTTATAAACCGCCACTTTTTCCAGCAGAGGAGGCTTCAGAGACGTCTTTAGATTAGAGTCCTTTTTTTTTTTCTGGGTTCCTTTTAGGAAAAAAAAAATCCTCTGCTACAGTTTGATATTTAATATAGGTTAATTCCAGATTTAAAACCAAGTCTAAGCCCTCAAAATCGAGGTAGTAACTGGAATGTTTACAGTCACTGAAATAGGCTCTTAGCAACAGCTTAGTAACAAAGGTAAGATTTTTTTACTTAAAATTCAAAAGGATCAAGATATCTGGTCTACGTGAGTTTTCACAGAAATTTTGTATCATTTCATGATTTTAAAACTAGCTGAAATACTCGCAGCGCGAACAAAAATGCTTTTCGTGGCGGCCTTGTTCTTTTGCCAACTGTTCACACTACAAGCCAGCCCGGTGCAACGCGCGGGAGGGAACAGAGACAAAGTTGGGAGGCGTGAACCGAAGTCACCTTCCCAGTCGCGAGCTGCGTGGCCCTGAACGGTCAGCGCATCTGCCTGAGCCTCAGTTTCTCCAGCCTTCAAGTCAGTGGCCAAGCTAAGGAACTCGTAAGACCCCTGCACCCCACACACTCTGCCCCAAATCTCAGAAGCAGCACCCCTGCCGCACCCCAACGGCTTCGCGTTAAGAACCAGGCCAGCTACGCGGCAGGACGACGAAAGCCTCGAGTAATCAATCTGGTGTGCTCTACCTGAGCGAGTCTCCAGATAATGATGAAGTCGAATGTGAGCTGGCTTTAGAAAAGGAAAGCTAAAGGGACCAGCAAGGAGAGTCAGCAACAGAGGGGTTAAAAATCTCAGCGGCAGTATTTCCCAGCCAGCCTGGCCCTACCACCGCCCGAAGCTCAGTCCGGTTGAACGTCCCAGTGCATCCTCCACTCCAGGAACAGCGAGAGTGCTGTGTGGAGACCAGTAACCAACAGCAGAGCACACCAGCAGCCCCCTCAGTACAGCTGGGGAGCCTGGTCGGGGCGCCGGCCTAAGCATAGGTCTCGAGCACCACGAAAACCTCCTCAGGGAGCTGGCGGGGGCGGCGGGAGGACCAGCAATGGCTCTGGAGGTGTGTGAGGTTCAAGCTACACCTTAATGGAGGGCGGCGACAGTCATGGAGAGAGAGGCTGAGAGGAGCTGCGGAAAGCGCTTCACCGCGGCAGAGAAGGATCCAGCGCAGGTGTCCAACGGCAGTCAGGGCAGAGAGGCAGGCTTAGCTCAGGGGGACCGGGAGGCTTGGACAGCACATCACGGGCCTGACCCTCCCTTCCAGGAACAGGAAGCCACAGAAAGTTTGCAAGGGATAAAATTACAGAAGGATGGCTAGGAAAGAGGGTCTGACCTAAGGCAGGCACGGGGTAGAAGGCAACCAGGTACAGATTACTATTTTCCAAGCAAAAACCATACATGTAACTTCATCACTGAAATTCAAAAGTGGAAAAACTAGGCATTTTTCAAAAATATATTTATCTCTTGAAAGTGAGGAGGTATGGAAAAAGCAAAACGGGCATTTATCCAGGACTCCATACCCAAAACGTCCCAAGCAATTTGAAATGGGTGAGATGCATCCCACTTCTCCTTCGATCTCGAGGGAGGGAGGGAGGAGCACCCTTCCGCCGAGGGCGCTCAGATTCTTGCTAAGTCCTAGGAACGGACCCGTCTGGCCCCGAGACCTCCAGCCCACACGGCCAAGGGCTGCCCGCGGGCACCAAGTCAGTCCTCCCGGCAACACGGAACTGGGCCATGCCCCGGGGCTCGGCACCGAGCCAGCTGCGGGCAGAGGCGGGGCACAGGCTGGGCGGCACAGGAAGGGCGGGCGGGAATATGGAATGAAACAGTGACCAGTGACTTTCTCTGCAGGGACAAACCCAAGAAATCCCCACAGATATTGCTAACGTAGGGAAATAATGGTGTTGACAGGGCTTTATCTTGTCTTTTTAAAGGAGAGTTCCAATGAAGCCGAGATTATAAATAGGTGAGTGTAGCACGGCCTCTTCTTGGATACTACTGGGTGAGCCTCTGTGAGTCTGGAACCCAGCTTTACCCCCTAAGAATGGAGGGGTGAGAGGGGAGTTTATAAACCGGGACCATTCCCGAAACTGCTTCAGAAGAGCACCCCTCACACCTCGGTGCCCCCACTCCATGGCAAGAGCCTCCCGACCCCTCCATGCAGCGCTGCCGCTCACGGTACATTCCTTCCCAAACACACACTGGGAAAATCAACTGTCCTTGATAAAGACAGTGACCCACCCAGGTACTTCCAAGATAGGTGAGCCGGCGAGCCCTCCGCTCAGCTCCCAAAGGATGCCCGCGGCACTCAGGAGCAGAGAGTGAGGCGACAGTTACCTGGTCAGGGGGTTCCCGCTGAAGTCGGCTATCTGCAGCGCTTTACAGAAGGAGATGCTTTCTGGAATCTCAGGGATGTCTGCGGGGAAACAGAGTTCGTCACCACGTTAAAACCGCCATCGCTCTCAGGACAGACCACAGTCACAGTGGGTGATCAGAAATCACTACCCTGTAAATGTAGCACGGGCTTGTAAGGTGTGCTTCTGCCCTAGTTCTGCTTTCCCAACAGAAGCCACATTCTTGAGAGAAAAATATTAGAAAGGACCACCACCCTCAGTCCACCACCAGCAAGTCCACGGCCTCTCCAAGTCACTGGCGGAATTCAGCTGTAGCTCCCACTAGACCTTCCTTACGTTTTCATCAGTACAAGGTACTCTAAAGCAGGGCATTTCTAAACTATGGATTTTGTCCTCATTACGAACATGGGAATGTGGAAAACAGAAAAATATAAAGAAGAAAATAAGAAATGCCAACAGTCTTATCACCCAGAGCTAATGTTTTCTTGTCATTTGTACACACACACATACACACACACACACACACGCATGTGCACAATATGCATATAGTTTTGTGAAATACATTCTGGGCTTGAGATATTTTTTCAACTTACATTGTTTTACCAATTCTTTCTATCATCTTTCTACATTTGGCCATTCTTAATAGCACAAAGATACACTACATACACTTTCAGGCTTGGTTTAATCAATCCCCTATTGCTGAACATTTAGGCTGTTTCCAAGCTCCTGATGTTGTCATTATACTTATGCCCATTTCAGATTATTTCCTTAGGCTACGTTCCCAGAAGTAGAATTGCAGTACAAGAGGCATTAACATCCCTACAGAACTTGTTAAATATTGCTAAATTGCTTGAGGGGGGTCAGACTGCAACAACTTACACTTTCATCAGCCTGGACAAGGTGCCCAACTCAACAAACAAAAGTGTTATTTTGAATTCTTTTTTCTCCTGGTAAAAACCGTGAGACCATAGCTCTCAGGGCTTTCAACTGTTCATTCATAGCAGGTAATTTCAAAAATACATTTATTTTGGATTATTAACATGCAGAAGGGCTAAAACAGAAAAAGTTCTCCTGGCCCCAGGCAGTTTTTTCCCTACTTCAACAAATGCCAGAACACGCCGAGTATCCCCACGCTGGGGGCGGCCAACGGAGGGAGAGATGGAGACACACACCTTGCTCCAATGACCTCAAATAACCAGATGTACACAAAAGCTTTCAGTTCAAACTGAAACGCTGACAACGTGACTATGTGCTAGCAATACCTCACACTACCACTTGCCTTGCATGATCATGTAAGATAGTGAAAAGCAAACACCGTACTATGATCCGCATTCATAAAAATACATAGAGAATCTTGTCTACCATCCACAGTTCGTTCTAGAATGGATTTCTAAAACCCACAAATATTTATGAGAACTGAGGTCCCAATATACCAGTAGCCCCTTTTATAAGTATTATCTATGCCGTTCAAAAATGTGTAATTTTAGCCAAGCACAGTGATGTATATCTATAATCCCAGCAATCTAGGAGGCTGAAGCAGGAGGATCAAAACTTTGAGCCCAATCTGGGCAACTTAGTGACTTAGTGACATCTGTCTCAAAATAAAAAAGAGCTGGGGATGTAAGTCAGGGTAGCTCAGAGAGATTGACAGACAGCTGACAGACAGAATTTAACCTGCTCTGTACAACTGGATACTAACACTCAGCGGGAGAGCGTGGCTAGCCCATCACCACAGCGCGAGTGTGCCCCCCAGGCTGCAGCACGGCACAGCTGCGCTGGAGGCTGGATGAGCACGGTGCCCCGCACAGCACAGCACCGCGGCCCGGCCCTGCAGCGCGGCCTGGCCTGCACTCCCCGCGACAGTCTCCCTCCCGAAGCCCCACTGGGGCTCTACGGAAGGCTGAGAAGAGAGAGGCCTCAAGTGCCGCGGAAGAAGACGGAGCCGCACAACCGAACGTAAATTCTCCAGGGCTGTGCGGCTCTGCCCACGAGAAAAAGCAGGTGCTGACAGTAAGACAGAAGACTAAGGCGGAAGTCTTTAACGTCACTCAGAACATCAGGATCCTCGCCGAGGCCCGAGATGAGCCGCCAGGGGCTGAGCTGCCGGAGCCCAGAGGGCCGCAGAGCCCAGCTCGCCGCTCGCAGAGCCCAGGCCGAGTGCCGGGGGCCCCACCAGGCCAGCCGCTGCGGACGCCAGCGGGGTAGAAACGGAACCAGACACTCCTCGCCACCGCCTGCACGCTTGCAACTCCACCCTTTGCACATATTTGCCCATAAAATAAGTTTCTGACAAGAAAGGCAAGAGCGTGGCTTAGGGCGCTGACTACTGGTTTGCTCTGAGGAAATTACTGAGTGCCTCCGAAAGGAAAGTGAAGGCAGGAAGGAGAACGGCACCTTGAAAGACGCCGCACTCCGCTGAGCGTCAGCACCCCAGGGACGTGTCGCGGAGCCCGGACATCGGCCTGGCTTCCTCACCCTCCAGGCCCTGGGGCCTCACGAGGTCTCCCACAGCGAGCTCCACACAACTGGACGGTCAGCTGCCTGCACTGAAGGCCAGGCTCACCGGGAAGAGAGCAGACTGGCCTTGCCAGAACGCGCAGCTGAGAAATCAACACCGCGAGTCCTCCGCACAGACACCTGCTCCCTCCGCCAGCCGGGACACGGCCCACGGCCGCGAGGAAGCGGCTGAGCCCCACACCCCGCGCGAGCAAGCAGAGGCAGGCTGTTCTCAGCGGAGAGCCCGAGCCAGTGGAGAACGTTCCGCTGCAGGCAGACTCGAGGGGCAGGACTGACAAGTACGGGGACACCCTCGAAGGGGGCTGCTCCGCTCACCTACCTCCTCCAAACGCTTTGTTTGAATGCTGCCCGCCACCGGCTCGCACATGCAGCTTCCAAATCCCTTGGACATTCTGTAATCACTCCTCCCACTCTTCCTATCCACTCCTGTCAGGGTTGGCCTGGCTCAGGCCTCCGTCATTCAGGTGACAAGGGCATCCTACCAGATGTCACCAGCGCCCAGGGAGTCCTCCGTCAGATTCACACAGCCATGAGAGCAGGAGCTGTGTCCCTCTGTTTACAAGGAATGAGTCCTCTGTAAACTCTTGGCCTACCCGTGCCTCAACCTCCTCATCTGTAAAACGGGTCCTCCACTGCAGATCTTTTTAAGTAATGCTAGCAGACAAAAAAGTTGGCCATGCAGGTACAATGAACAAAAACTCTACATCTTATCTCCCATCAGCTCACACCACGTTCACCCCACGTAAGCACGCCGTGCACACCGAGGCGGGCGGGCACCCCGGGCCAGTGTGGCAAGCTCTGGGCACACCACGAGCCGGGAAGGCTGTGGCCAGCATCGCCACGGGGTCCGCTCTGACCACTGTAACAGTGCCCTTGGGGAGGCTGGTACGGGGCAGGACCATTGGGGGGGGCCCGCACCTCCGCCCCACGGTCAGCCCTGGTGAAGTGTGGGCACTGGTCAGAGAGCAGACAGGAGGGCGGACGCTGCCCAAACCCAGACTGCAGCCGCTCCCGCCACACACGCAGAGCCACCGCCCACTACGCCGTCCGAGGGGAGGCGCCACAGCCGCGGCTCCTGGGAGCTTGGGGAGCCGTGCCCCGGGGCGTGACGCCGCACAGACCGGCTGGTCAGACGCTGGCCAGCGCTCCTCTTTCTGGTCTGAGTGCGGGTTCTCTGTCGTCCTCAGCTCCCGGCCTGCTGTGGGAGCCCTGACAAGTCCCGGCGGCTGGGCCCTTTTGCCGACTCCCGTCACGCGCACCAGAGAGACGGCACCAACGCCGGGAGGCACCAGCCAGGCAGCCTCTTCACCTGGTGAGAGTGACGGCTGTCGATTAAAGTACACACCAAAGGAAACGACACAGAACGAAATCATACGCTGTCATTTGACACTTACGAAATGACTGGCATTGGGGTAAAATTAATCTCCCCTTAACTGTCTGACGGCAACCTTTCCTCGGGACTCACGCAAAGCGCCTGTTATCTCTGAATGAGAAAAGTTATTTTCTCTGAGGCTGGTTCACCGACATGGCCACTCCCACAGCCGACACACAGCAACCCCTAACCAGAGGCAGTGGAGACAGAACACAGCCTTCCAGGGGGACAGTGTTCTCTACTGAGCGATTTACAAGGACATCCCCTGCCCTTGCAGACACAATCTTCCTCACCAACCATTCTAACACAGCACGCTGACGTCCTACCACACAGCCTTGGTTCAGATGCTGCTGCAGAAACCCAAGGGATCCCCACATCCCCGGGATTCTCAAGTGGACGAGGGCACGTCCTGGAAACCTATCAGCGTTCTAGGGACCTTGTGTGATACGGCGAGAACCGCTCAGCTTCCTCCTAGACATTCGCGGCGGTAGCACTCCTGCGCATTTTCCTTCACACAGCTGTGGCCAGGCAGCCTTCTGTACCGCCACAGCACGGCCAGTTCTTCCGAGTGGGTCAGCTACCCACTGGCATTTGTTCTCCCCTCTATGAATGGACGGTCTCTCTTCTCCTTCTGGTTCAGTACCCAACCGGCAGTACCAAGTTACACTGCTAGACTCCTGCCACTGAAAATACTCATAAAACGTGAAGCAGAACAAAGCTTGAATATTTTTGCAGGTATTCTAAAAGATTATCTCATTCATACTGGAGCAATTTGGAGACAGTTTAAACGAGACTAAAATTGTTGAAGAAAGCAAATTATTACCTCTATTTTTCTCTCTTTTTGTAAAGCCTCAGGACATAGCATGTGGAAAGTTAGCAAGGTGGAATTTTATTAAAACTGAACCAAGAGTTACACAAGGAAGTGTCTATATTTGCTGCATCCACATTAGTACTGTCCCAGGGAAGTGCTACCTGTATTCAAGCGTGGACCAGCGTCCTTCCCCTGCTTGCAGTCCATCCCGCGCGCCCTTTGCTGAGAACTGTTATCACAAAACGGCAGAGCCAGCACCTGACTATCTCCTGCGCGTCAGGCGCAGCTCTAAACATGCTGCACTGAGTTAAATCTTAACACCTCTAAAGAAGGTGCCATGGTCATCTCCATTCTTGGAGGGA